CAAAGGACACAGCTCGACATGGGCCTCCATCGTCGAGAGTTATCTATAGGAGTAGGAATTAAAATATACCTATAGAGCGTTACGAAATTGGGGATTTGCTTGATACCTTGTATGATGTAACACCGTGTATTGGCGGTCAAAATATATGCACTACCAATATAGTTCCATGGAAGTCGTAAGAGGTGACAGCGGGTACAAACCAGGAGAGGCGCAGCAGGGTTTTCCTAACAACAACCAAAATTAAAAAACTGTGGTTGTGAACCTGCATATCAGGCGTGACAACTATGACAAGTCCATACGAGGCAATATATGGAGGAGTTTTTATGTTCAGCTGTGGACTTTTGATAGGCTGTAATGAATGCATGTATGAGTAGTTATAGGAATATATTAGAACTGTCTATATTTTATAACGTTGCAGATGATCCACAACGAGCTTATTTCCATACGACATTGTAACACGATATTATATAGAAAATTTAGAGTAAATTGTACCTTGACCTATTTTATTAATTTATTTATTACAGCCTAGTATCGAGGTCCACTGCTCTACCTTGTTACTGCCTTAGTAGGTGGATTGGCAACCGCAGTTTTTTTAATATGCTGCTGCTGCAATATGCTGTGCTGTTATCAGAAAGATTATGTAGTCCATTACGTTCATCAGATTTTCTCTGACATCTTTTACGACACCCTGGGGTTGATAACGGCTGGTCTCACAAACTTTATTAGATTATTTTGTAATGATTTCCATTTACGCGAATACTATACATTTCATAAAATTAATTTTACGTATTACATCACGATTAGTTTTAATTGTTTTCTTTATTTTTAATTTACGATACGTTTTGGGAGTTTTACAACACTCATTGTCACGGAGTTGTGTAAAGTTGGTGTTGTAAAGTGCCTCAAACGCTAGGAGTTAAATAAATGGGTACCTCACGTCCGTTAATATGCGTCAGTTTTGTCCATGATAAAGATTTTTTTTAATTACTAGAATATAGAGTCCTTTAGGATCGAAACATTATCTCGACAAAACAAATATATTTCGTGAATATGACCTCAATAATTTAGAAGTTAAACGATAACTAACAGACGAACTAACGGCCATATTAAGATTATAACAGAAGACGATAGCAGCAACATTTTCTTCCACAAAATAATAAATTAAAAATAACCACAGTCTCCAAACTGCCATCGAGGGTATCTGTGAGAGAAGTCTATGTTGAACAGTGAGTTTTGATAGGTTATTACGGTGACATGTGAATTGTAATGCTTAGTTTTACTTACGTAAATATAATAGGGTAGTTTTCATATTGAGCTATTTCTAAGTAGAGCACAAGAGACAGTATGTTATACCAAAAGGAAAACTCAATTTTCTGCTGAGACGATGTCTAAATACAAACGAAACCACTTATAGTTTCGTAAGCAAAACTTTATAAATTAGGATCCAGTGGTCGAGTAACCAGAATTACTTTGCGTCAACTTGAAGGAGTTCTTTCGACTTTTTAAGGCAAAATTTAAATTGAAACTGAAACACAATACACAGAAATGTGGTTTACTGGCCTGATGATTTATAGTATTTTACTGATACTTTACATAAATTAAAATTTATTTCGTTGGTTTTGTATACTATAAAATGATTACGTCAAGAATCAGTAAGGACTAGAAATCTCAAACTACATTCATTTAGTAGATGATTATCATGATCAAGCGCGTCAGATACGACACTTTTAATTTTTTTTTTTTAAATATATATATATATATATATATATATATATATATATATATATATATATATATATTTTTCCTTTGTTTTTAGTGGTCTCTCTACATACAACTAAAAGATCAATTAAAACCCGCGTTAAAGAACATATAGCTGATGTGAAGAATCGACGCTCCGGGAGGTCTGCAGTCTGTAAACACGTACAAGATCGCCCCCGTCACTACATCGGATTTGATAGACCACAAATCCTCGCTAAAGAACACCGATTACTTCCAAGGATGATTCGCGAGGCTATTGAAATCAAAAAACATCCTAATTTCAATAGAGAAGATGGCTGGGTGCTACCATCTGTTTTGGATCCTATAATAAATAAAATTAAATCCCAACCCAAGCATACAACTGCAAGACTTCATGATACCATAAGTTCATACTGTGTATATCGGAATATGTTAAAAATATGTTAAGCCAGTGCAAAGCGTCAGTTTAATTGAAATTGTTGTAAATGAACTTGTCATAGTTGTCACGCCTGATATGCAGGTTCACAACCACAGTTTTTTAATTTTGGTTGTTGTTAGGAAAACCCTGCTGCCCCTCTCCTGTTTTGTACCCGCTGTCACCTCTTACGACTCCCATGGAACGATATTGGTAGTGCATATATTTTGACCGCCAATACGAGGTGTTACATCGTACAAGGTATCAAGCGAATCCCCAATTTCGTAACGTTCTATAGGTATATTTTAATTCCTACTCCTATAGATAACTCTCGACGATGGAGGCCCATGTCGAGCTGTGTCCTTCTTCGGGCAGATAAAGAATAAAATACCACTAAAAACTGGTATTATTTCAATGTGTAGTGTTCGCGTAAATATAAGAAATTATTATATATATATATATATATATATATATATATATATATATATATATATATATATATATATATATATATATATATATATATATATATATATATAATTCAAGTGTCTATCTGCAATACCTAAACAAGGTCAGTGTCTTGTTTGCGCTGAGGGGTAATTTGCATCAAGCATATAATATGTATTGATTATAATTATTTTTGAAACCTTTTTTTCCTTCTGTCTGCCTATCCGAGATTATTTTCGAATCGATTGCAATAAACATGAACATATACAGAGCAAAGAGTCAGGTGTGAACTAGGCTGTATTATTTTATCCAAAAATCATGGATTATTTTTATGGAGTAATCGAAAAATTGGTAAAATATATGGCATTTGATAATTTCCTTAAAGCTATATAATGCCAAATTAATAGATCAAACCCCAGTTGCTAGTATTAAATAAAAATGAAATTCAAGGAAGAGCTGTCTTTACATAATTAAAATTAAACGTGATAAAATCCGTAAAATAATTTTATTTAATGATTATTCTATTAATAAATGCACGGACTGTGAAATTGAAGAAGTCACGTTGCGAATCCACAATTAAACTACTGTAGTAAAACTATTGTCAGCACAGACACTAAAGTTTAGTTGGAATTCTTAACGGGAATATTATCTATCAATGCTACTCGTAATACGTACCAATTGTGCTTATTTCGGATACTTGGTTCGTGTTTAAGGAGAATGAGAAAATAATGCATAGTTTTAGTGTGACTATGCAAACAAACAACCAATTATAATAAACATTTATATAATGTTATTACCCATTTCTGCATCTGTAGCCTTCCTTGCTTATACCGTGAAGTGGACTGTAAGTTCAGATCCTAAGTGAATATGAAAAATTTATCACAAATACTAGCTTCTACCTGTTACTTCGTCTGCATAGAACTAAAAATATCCTGCAAACCAATAATAGTGATCTTTTATCAAGGTAGTTCAGTTTTCGCAAACACTTGGAAATCAGTTTTTTTGCTCTCGAGAACTATCTGCGACATGGGAAAATGTTTAGTATAAAAACTGAAGATCCATTAATTTTATCTTCTTTAATTTTTATTACGGAATTAAAAACTTCTTTACAATCCTTTTGATTTGGAATTGGATGAAAAAAAAAGCGCCACTAAAAAGAGACAAACGTATACATCATTATGACTTAGCCTGCGAGAGAATGAGATAGAATTGCTGTCCGTTAGTCTCACTAAAACTCAAAAAAAATTGTGTTTATTTGAATGAGTCCTCAGATGGTTAAAATTTATATTTGGACCCAGTAGGTGGCGCTGTTGTCGAGATCCAGAATTCACCTGTGCGAAACCGGAGCGAGTGGCTAGCCACATAAAGTTTTTCTCTTCGTTTTCATTTTATCACATAAGGTTGAATTAAAATCAATTTAATTTTAATACAGACCAAATCACTGCTAAATTTCTCTCTATCTGTTCGTGAAGTTTTTTCACAATCTATTTGGCCATTACAAAGATTAGCAATGACAAAAAGACTCAAAACTTTAAAAATGTTTATTCATGTTTTAATAGCGTACCAATAAATGAGTTTAATAGAAGGCAGTTACTTTATTATTTCATAAAGATACTTTTTATAAAATATGGATGACAAGCGAACTCACGGCCCACATGGTGGTAAGTGGATGCCGTGACCTACAAAAATCTACATCTATCCTCGATTAAGAATTAAAATACAGATTGTCATCCCTGAGGACTAAGATGTGATGCCAATGGAATAGTAAAAAGTGTCCCAGGTTCTCTTCACTCACCATATAATACACCGCGGCGAGCTGCTATTTTACGCTACAATATGGCTCTACCACGACTTAAAAGCTATTCATCTATCACATATTTATGTATGTTTAAGATCATGAGCTTATAAGATATATTTCTACGACCACATAATATCATACCGTGAGTTTCGTAAAAGGGGATAAGGGGTAATGAAACAGAAAATGGGCAGCACCAACTTTTTTTAAAGTTTAAAGAGGAACTGCAGATTTAGAACCGCATCCTTATTTCGTTTTTTTTTGTTATAGAATTTGTGCCAGATATTAAGGCCACTAAGCCATTAATTTTTATGTAAGTTTTATATTTTTAGAACTTGGGATTAACTAATAACATCAATAAAAAGATTTTGATAAATAAACGTAATATAAGCATAAACTAAACGCAATGAGGACTACCGTTTTTGTGCTCACCAGTTGGCGCCACTGTCGAGTAACGTCTTAAAGTATAGCTGTCAAAGTTTGTTAGCGCGGTTGTGAAAAGAAAGTACATTTAAATCATATTTAATACCTTAATACGGTATCGTATAAACACAGAGTATGACTAAATGTTGCGTAGTCCCCTTTTGTTCGGAAAAAAAGGAGGACATGTTTCCGAAGGATAAAACTGTTTCAAAGCAGTGGTTAATAGCGATTCGCAGGGACAATTATACCCCTTCAAAACATTCGTGTGTCTGTAAAAAACATTTCAACCCTGACGATTATGCGTTACCTAAAGAACCAAATACAGAAAATCGTAAGTAATAATGTTTCTTATTCCTAGATAACATTAAGTTCATGCTTGTTTCAGACACTAAATTTACCCTGACCTTGATAACCGAGCAAGTTATACTTACTTTCATCTGTTGTAATCTTTTGTTGAAAATTTTTCAGCTACTCCTAAACTAAAACCAAAAGCGGTGCCTAGTCGATTTTCCTGGAATCATGAAAGTGAAGAGACAATGTAAATTAAAAGAAAACATGCAGAGAGAGCTCTTCAACGTCAAATGAAACGTGAAACTGTGAAAGTGTGTGTGCGATACAGGAAAATCAATGTGAAGAACATTTTGTAAGTAAATAAAAACTTTTCATACTCATTTATCACAGCAGCCTTTGTCGACATAAACTGCATCAGTCTCGTTAAATGCCTATGTTAAAAGTGCTTCTAGGACTATTTTTACTGTGACAAATGATCTACTTTTTTTAATTTCCAGACTTGAAGAAACATGTGAAAAAATAGACATTGAAAATTCAAATAAAGATGTCTCACTATAATGCTCTTTATGCAAATTTGAAGAGAGCTTAACTAATACTGCCAATTTGTCAGATCATGAGTGTAATAGAAAAAGCACATTAAACATGTTCAGAATTGAAAATTTTAAAGAAAAGCCTGATATAGTACAATTTTACACTGGTTTTGATATTGACTTTTCGGAGATGAAGTGAATAATTTAAAGTACTATCCCTCATTACAGCCAGCTCGTGGAAAACATACATTGACACCATCTGATCAATTTTATTTAACACTAATAAAATTTTTAACATAGATTAATTAACTTTACTGCAAATTCAAGGATCTAAATGTACCAAGGGAAACAATTGATGAAAATGTATCGAAGGAAGACTAATACCTCTGCAGTAAATATAGATTGCACTGAAATAAAAATTGAAAAACTACAAAATCCAGTTTCACAACAAGCTACTTATTCTAATTACAAATTAGCGAACACATTGAAAGTATTGGTAGGAATTTCTGGCTCCGGGTGTGTGAACTTTGTTTCAGGTGCATATAGTGGATCTGTCAATGACAGAGAGTTATTTGAAAAGTGTGGTATCATTAATCAACTTCACAAAGGGTTATTCTCGGTGATTGTGGTTTTAATATACAGTATCTAGTTTCTCATATGGATGTTACAGTAAACATGCCACAGTTACTGACAAAAAGGTAGTAATCAGTTTGATGCACTGGAGCGTAGAAGACTGTCATCTGAATTTATTAATGTTGAACGTGTTATAGGCTTAGAAAAAACATTTAAAATTCTTAGTATTAAGTTGTCATCTAATTAAGTAGCTCTTAGAGGAAGAATCATATTTGTGTGCTTCATGCTTGCCAATTTCAATTTTGCTAACCCTGGGACACTGATGAGTTGGGTTCTACTAAAACAAAGCGCTTTTTACTCTACAAATTATTCACACAACAGATATTATACGATTTGGGTTATTGTACCTCAAGAACGATTCTCCAGTTTGGGTTGCTCAAATTCAATTAGGAATCTAGCTGTGTTATACCCATTATCTTGTTTGTGTTCCTTCCATGCTTAAAAATGTTAGGCACAATTTATGTCTATCGAACTTAGTATTTAATTTGTATTTCATCAATGCTATTTTTATATCTATAGCCATCTCATGAAATAAATTACTTACAAATGTCATCCGTGAATGAAGTTTGTGAAGTTTGCTGGGACAATGCTCGAGATTTGAACTTACATGTACCAGAAGGACCACAAGCAAAACCTCAGCATATTGTGTTGTCCAATATAAGAAATTCCGCTTTCATGAAATGGTTTAAAACAAAAACACACATGATTGAGCGGGATGCAATCAGAAGTTATTGTTGTATCTGCATTGTAGGTTTAAGAATAGTGGGATACTACTCACATGTAATTATTATTATTTGGTACCTATCTCATGCTCACCGTGAGGGTATTATCCGGCCTGCCCACTTCTTAGAAGGAGTTTTATAAAGAGCTCATTATTTATAAGTACAATAAAGTAAATGAACTTAAGAAACAAAATATTTTTATTAAGCTATTGCATAGCTTCTATCGCGGGCCTTGAGCGCGGGGACCGAATCTAGAAATTCCGTAACGAAAAAAAACCTCACGCTCCCTACTCCGACGGCCACGGAGGTGTGGCGTTGAAAGCCGTGCATCGTCTAACGTCGTTTCAGTTCGGCAGACTTCGGCACTCGGCAGACTTCGGCACGGTGTTTGTGTGCGTGCGACTAGACGTATGCGTGTACACTAGCTGCTAACTCAATGATAAAAATTCCTGAATAACCTACATGTATTGTAAGATATTAAAAATATTTTAAACAATATTAACTTCTCATTTATTCAATAAGAGAAAAAAAATTGTTTTCTTATCGGTCACCACGCTCAAAAAGTGTAACTTGATTTAATATCAAAGAGTTAACTGCATAAATAAAATAAATAAATAATTATAATTGCATAAGTTGATAAAAAATGCTATGCAATAGCTTTACCGCGGCAGTCATTTACTTACACTCAAAACCCCATCAGAATTTCATCATTATTAAATTGTTGCAGTCCGCTGCTGAATACGGGTATCTCTTAATTCACAACGCTGACTAGATAGCGATCCTCATCTTAATCTACCTACTTAATAGTTGAACCACGTTGTGGCTATAATATAGTTGTAGTACGAATGAGTGCTCGACCGGGGAAGAACCACGCTCTCCCAGAATGCCAGTGTAAAATATCAGCTATATATAACTGCTGTGTTTCGTATGGTGAGTGTAAAGACCCGGAGACCCTTTTTCACTGGAAACGAGGCTTTCGATCTTAGTCCTCGGAGGTGACAACGCATCTGAATTTTGATCCTAAATCGAGCATTAATGTAGATGTCTATTGGCCACATCATTCTCTAACCATCAGGTGGACTGTTTGTTCGACTGTCACCCTTATTCTATTAAAAAAATGGTAAGTAAAGCACTACCGAGTAGCGAAAAGCAATATAGAATATTTACTTTATCACAAAAACAATGTTTATTTGCCTATATGTAACGACATAGGTACATGGGTACACTAGGAGAGGTTTTGGCCGTCGCTCTTATTTTGTTGCTTGAATAATGGTTTGAAGTATATTTTTATTCGTAAAAGTGATGCGATTTTGTGAATTGTCTGCGCGTGTGAACTATTAGGAAAACGACGAAAGAAGTGGTTTGATGTTGATATAATCTCCCAAAAACTGTGACGCATCAGCACATTGTGATGAAAAAAATATATATAAACAAAGATTACGAAAAAAATGATAGGCTCAGAAGAGCTAGAAACCAAAGCCGTAAAGTCAGTTAAATAAAACAAATTCGAACACTAGTACATTATATCCGTACACAGAGAAACCTATATACTAATGATTACCGTGGCCGCGAGTGAGAAAGGACGATAACGTAGTTTTAGGTTATACAATAATCTTTATCACTTTTAAACATATTTAGATAAAATTTAAACGTATATTTATATAGTCCTGTTTTGTTCCAAGTGTTCTCAGAACTGAACTGAATAAGAATCATCAATCTTAAGCTCACAAAACACTTTTTTTCTCACTTAACACAACTTGTAAACTCCTTAGATCGCTACGAACTGTCAAAGTTGTTTAGCAAAGTGTAGTTCGCTAAATAAAAAAGCCGGCACGGAAAAAGGGACAAACAATCACAACGCTCTGTATCATTTCTATGCAAGACGTATGCACAAATCTATCTTTATGCGAAAGAAGCCGTCAATTTATCTATAGGTTTCTCTATCTACGATTATATTTTATATTAGTCTATGTTCTATTTAGATAATATTGAAAATTAAAACTGGTTATATCGTTTATCTACCAAGTTCTAAAAATCTAAGAATTTAAAAGGGGTTTGTCTATCCCACTAGCTACTAATTAAAACCAAAAATATCACGAAACACGAAATTTTATTAACGGTACGAAACTCCCATACAAGCCTGCCATTCCCCTTTTCTTCGTAAAATTCTTTTAAACGTTAAATTTATGCAAAGTCTAAGGACATAAGTTAGTTTTAAAAATAGTTATCTACTCAATAATGAGCCACACGTTTTATAGATCAGTACTTTAGTACAGCACGTTTAGGTTTATTATGCTTGTTGTAGTTATGAACATAACCCATTTTGTCAAATGTGTAAAAATTGTTTCCTATATTATCCAAAATGAATTCTGAATGCAAGAGTTAAGATGTTAGTGCCTTTTAAAATAATTAATTATCTTTAAGTCCCTTGGTTACTACGAAAACATAATAACATTTTCAAATCATTTTGAAGTGAAAACTTCTTTAGAATCGTTGAGATTTGAAACTCGATGAAACGAAAACGCGACACTAAAAAGAGACAATCATATACATCTATCGGATTTAGCTTGCTAGATAATTAAATAGAATGTAAATTTGTCTTGTTTAGGCCATCTTATCTTTGTTTTACGTACCACTTTTAATCAGTTAAGTCAATAAATTTTTGTTTGATAAAAGGACTTTAACTATAGAAATAAGTATATGACGCTACTACAAAGCAATTTTACTCGAAAGAAAATATTATTTTGATTTATTACACTTACATATATACACACAAATAAATGATTTGCAATGAAATTTGTATTTTTATTTTATACTATCGATCCGCCACGGTGTTACACAGGTGATTTCAAGATCTCAACAACAACACAAATAACCGGGTCTAACTGGGTTTTAAGCCATCAAGGAACGCTTTCAAATACACACAAAAATTTTATCAAAATCGGTCGAGCCATTTTCGGGAATTTATGAGACTTATGGAGAGCAATTTATTTTTTATATTGAGATTTTCATTTGAAGGTTTCACTTCTATCGTGTGCACACTACACACATGTTTTTGATACTTAAACCAATTTATATTCTTACATTATATATTTAAAAACTATATCTTACCATTTATATAACTAATTGGCTTAAAATTTTATAAATCAATACATAAATATTAAATTACTTTCACGCAAATATGAATTTAAAAAAATGTCACTCAGTATGAGACCACACCCGGCTTTTCTTTAATTGCATTCTGGCACAGATAACTCCATACGTGAATTTAAGAGGTTTTTCTACTTTTGTGCTTTTAAAGTCAGTTGTCAATTATGTAGCATAACAATGTAGTTCTTATTCACTTTAAATTGTGAGAGGGCGTTTTTTTAAGTAAAAATCAGAATCAGAATCTCAATAAGAACATTTTATTTTATAAATGATAATTCTGTTATTAAACCACTGCTCCTCCTAGAATCGATATTGATTGTGGAATTAGTCAAAGAACTTTTACAATTTCACAGGTGCTAGGTTTTGAGGTCATGCGGCTTTATGTGTAAAGTTGTAGTTACATACATGTATTATCAAAATTTAGTATACATTTAAAGTATATATTGTTTACTATAGCTCAATAGACATTTTTTAAGTTAAACCGACCGCCGATACCGAGTCGCCGATATCGAATTATATTAAT